TTTAATAAAAACTTTAAGTTAGCTGTAGATGCTAGTGACATAGGTGCTGGAAGTATATTGATCCAAGAAGACAAAAATGGTGTTGACCATCCTGTTTGTTACTTTTCTAAAAAGTTTAATGAACATCAGAAAAATTATTCTACTATAGAGAAAGAGTGCCTTGCTCTTATTCTTGCTATTCAGCATTTTGAAGTTTATCTAACTTCTTCAAAGTTGCCTGTTGTTGTCTTTAATGATCACAATCCCCTCACTTTCTTGCATAAACTTAAAAACAAAAATCAAAGGTTGTTGAGGTGGAGTTTGTTTTTGCAAGAATATAGTCTTGACATTAGACACATTAAAGGGAAGATAATTTGATCCCTGATGCACTTTCTCGTGTCTAAAACTGATAATTTCAGTATTTACATTTAACATCTACATCATATGATTGTTTAATTTTACTTTGTTGTTTGCTATTGTTTATGATGGACATATATATGATTTTATATATAAAGTTGTTTAACATTTCTCCTAAGTTTTTCATAAGTTGCATTGTTTGGATTTATGTAAAAGAAATATTCATTTCATTCATATTTCTTTTTCTTGAAGAGGGGAAGTGTTATGTATGTAATACATTACATGTATATAGTACTCTTCCAACTTATTACACGCACACCATGTAATTCATTGCCATTTATCCGAACATTTCTGTACAGTTTGACGTCACTTATGCCTAATTTTGGATAAAACATATACAAATGGTGCAAAACGACTTCTAAATACACCGGCATCACATCGTATGGATGACACTTAGACAAAGCAGCCATATTTTGGAACTTTTGGAAATTGTTATTGCCTGTTTATAAAAGAATTGACAAAAAATGGTTACAACGCAGACGGCGGTGGATTCGATTGCAACGCAGTGCGGTGGGCCCGATACCATTATGTCTATTTTGATTGTTTAACTTGACATAACGCACTTTTTAATTGAGTAAAAACCCTTTTCTAACTTTGACATCAGAGAAACGGATTTATTTCGTGTTTAAATACAAATAGATGACCGAGTTCCGCTTACAATTTCCTTCCATTGAAAGTTCCTTTGACTGGTATTATCATAGAATACTCGTCAAGATTAACAGCACGTGCTTCTTGAATGCGAAGAACAATCTCAGTTTTTAATGACACTGTGTTATACTGAGAACACCAAAACACCAATTTATATAAATTTTATTTTTACAGCGGAGTGCTATTTGAGGAAAATATAAGGTTTATAAAAAGATCTACAGACATCTAGGGACATACAAGTATATAAACTTTCTGGTTAATATGTATTAAAATGCAGTCGGGTAACCTTGAACCCATGACAACTCGCTCAATTGTACTTTAGGTACCATAAGAAATAGAATTCTAAGGAAAATTTTAAGCTGATAAAACTAGTTTCTTCTATTCAAACGACACTTGACATATTGTCATTGAAACATAAAACACTTTTAGGGCTAACTTACTTAAAACAATTAAACAATAATCACAATTATTCTTTTGGTTGCTATTTTATTTGCAGTGTCAAAATGTTTTCAAATTATTTCTCTTCACAATAGAAACATGTCGCGGCTGATTTAAATAAATTGGGAATTAACACTTTTATGTCAATAGAATAAGGAAGATATCACATCATGTGGATATCATTGTTTAATATAACAAACATTCCAAATAAAAGTATGTAATTAAGAAACAATTGTTCTTGTAGTAGATGTGTGTGTGTCAGACAATTGAAGTTGGTGAAATACCATCCTGCTTTATATAGAATTAAGTGGGGGGGTGATAAACCGAAATATTTTTGTCCTGTTTCTTATTTGATGTTAAACTCGTTTCTTGAAACACCAGTTTTGGTTACAGGTAGCTCTGAGCCTATGACATCTTAAGTTGTTGAAAGAAGCGGGAAATTGATGATAATCATGTAAATACTTAGTGAAAAATATGATCAACAAGGAAAGGCGGCGTTCAATGAACGCAACCCCCATACGACCCAGCAACAAGAACCAGTGGCAAGGAGCCCAGGCGGACCCCAAACAAAAACAAGACAGGGCATATAGAATTTAAAATTGGAAAATTGGAAACTTGATTGATTCTGTCTAAATGAGCTACTCTCAGTAAAGGTAAAATTATTGAACACCTTTGCGTTTATAGTTTTGCACGTTTGTTACGTCGCTTTTCATTGGATAATCGTGTCATTTATATGGTTCTATATACACGTGTATGAAGAAATCTCACTTTTTTCTCTACAAAATGCTTGTTTTATTATAGATTCTTGATAAAAAATATTTCTAGCAGGTTATATGACCTTATATAAACGTTGTTTGAAAAATAACAGTTTATAAATGGCCATTTAACCTGTCTAAAAATCTATTTAAAGAAAAACATGTTATAATGCTTGTACATGTATGTGAAATCAGAATCTTTATAACGAATAATATAAACGTCACGATTTTACACCACAGGCACAGATATATACTGTATCATAGGCATTATTTATAAATGTCTATTTTAAATTATGCTCGACACTCAAACACATGTAGACAGAAAACGTCCAAAAACAAATGCTTATCAATAAAGCACTTATATATAAATTGGTCTACGCAATTCACTGCGCATCGGTAAATTTCCTTTCGGTGGTGCATCAAGGTCAGATGTCTTGACTCCTAGTTTCCGCCGGGAATTGGTTCTTTATCAGTCCGGGTTGTTCAATGCATGATCTCTTAAGGAAATGTAAAAATAAAGGGCACTATATATGTTCCTACTTTACTGCAAATTTTAACTCGAATGGTGCAATATTCAACAAGAAACAACTCAAAATCGATATCTGTTCACATACAAAAATACTTCAGTAATAAAACAAAATAGTTTGTTCAACGTGGACTATTCTATGATAACACCTGCCAAATGAGTTTTGAATTGAAGGATAATGGAAGCAAAAGTCAGACATCTATTTGAATATATAATTATATTGTTAAAAACACAAACTAAACACGTTTTTTTTTAAGAAAAATGTTGTACTCGATTGAAATGTGCGTTAATTGCAAGTTAACGCTTAAAAATAATGGTATCGGATCCACCGCACTGCGTTACAATCGAATCCACTGTCGTCTGCGTTGTAATCATTTGTTTGTCATTTATTTTATTAACAGGCAATTACAATTTCAAAATATTAAACAAATATGGTTTTTGTGAGAGTATTATTCATACGATGCTATGCCGTTGTATTTAGGGGTCGTTTTGCACACATTTGTACCTGTTTTAACCACAATTCGGCAAAAGTGGCGTCCCCTCGTCAAACTGTTCAGAAATGTTTGGATAAATGGCAATAAATTGCATTGTGTGCGTATAATAAGTTTGAAGATATGGGGGCTCCAGTCTCACCATGTGATTCCCGTAAAACATCAAAACATAAAGCAAATTTCAATCAAAAACTTACCGACAACAGCAAACGCTCAATTTTTACCACCGCGCTGCGATTGACCCGCCGCTTCTGCGAAAGCTATGGCCAGTGTATACCTGAACAACTTGTGTGACATTTTGAATATTATTTAGGCATGTCAGCACTTTAAATAGGTAGTGCAATATTCAGGTCGCACAAAGAGTCGTGCAGATTGGTTTCTGCAAGTGAGTTGCGCGCCAGTCTATTTTTGCACACCACGCTAGCTGCATGCGCAAACAAAAGGTTATATAAGATGGGAATTTTCTATTTGTTTTATTTGAGCTGTCGAGTTGAGTTGTTGTAGTTTCAGTGTTTAATTTGCATTTAGACTGTTTCTAGAATAAACTTATGATGCAAGAGATTTAAATATCATTTTCCATTTGGACTTCTTTTTTATTATACAAGCATAGAGTTCTAAACGAGAGACAGACAGTTTCAGTGACAGATTTCTGTTTCTTTTTCTTTCTTTTTTTTTCTTTTTTTATTTAAAGCCAGAGTTATTTCGTAACAATATGACCAAGCACTATTATACATGTATGACCGAGTGAACAGTGTCCTCCTTTAACATCGGAACACTTCCCCTATTATTCCTAATTTGAGCTTATCTGGAGACAGACGGAAATAACCGATATGTTTCTATCGTTCGCAGATACAATACAGTTTGACTAATCAGAAGTTCTTACTTTTGAACAATTAAACAAATCTTCAACCGTTGCAAAAAGACCTCTTGTATGCTTCTTTTTAAAGATACAAACTTGTTATGCTCTTTATCAGTATTATGACGTTCTACCAACGTCGTTACATTACTTTTCCCCCGAGGAGTATCGTCCCGAGACTTGACCTGGGAAATCATAGGGTACGGCAACTCCGGTCCAGCAGTTGTCTACATCCGAAATGTAACGGTTTAAGGCACACAAATCCTTTTCGGTGAAAACCTTGCTCACCACCAAGTGTGGTTTGTGTCCTTGTATATTGTTCACATTCCCTTATGTAAATTTACCAACTTTAGTTTTGGCATATTATCATGCTCATCATCAGTATTATGAAGTTCTACCAAGGTCGTTACAAAGGTAGCCAAGTGTAAACAAAGTAGTATTTTGACTTCCATACAAAATACAAATTCACTATATTTAAATACAAATTGCCAACATAGCAAAAGTAGCAGGAGAGAGTTCATGAATATTGCTAAAAAAAAATTTTTTAAACTTTAATAAGATACCAAAAATAAATCAGAATCAGTGGATTAATTATATTTATAGCTGTCTCAGCAAAAACATTATTCTGAGTTTCAAGAACAGATACAATAGCAGCTTTCGGTCATTTCCGTCACCATCCGGTAAATATGATGACAATATTAGGGACTCAATTTTAAACAATATAACACAAAAACAAAAAACAATAAGTTCCACTATATTTGCCTGGTGTTTCTTATTATAAAGCCTTAAACAAACAAAAAAATAAAGATTTTATTCTTATTTGTTTAATATAGCTGTTATCATCCGACAGACCCCTGGCAAATTCGATAAAGAAAATTGTAAGTACTGACCTTTACTATTTGAAGCCTTTGAATCGTTTATACACATGTATAAAGAAACAGAAACTGCGATAATCAACAGTCCAATTAAAATTGAATACACTACGAGGGTACACCATAACAAAAGTGGTGTACCCTTCTTGGCTGAAGGAGTAGTTTTATCTGCAAGCTCCCTTGTACCATGTTGAAGAGTTTCGTAAACGTTGTTCTGTTCAGTCCGATTTTTTAACTCCATATCTACATTCAAATTATCATACATTCCCGGTTACTATTAAAATTAAATCAAATCATATTTATTCATTCAGGATACAAACATTAAAACGTGTATATATTTTAATTACTTAGTTCATTGAAAATTGTTATTCATTATTTCCGAACCTTGTTAAGTTTTTAAGTAGAAATTATTGTTCCCATTGTGTTATTCTTTGAGCACTTGATACATTTTGCGATATCATGAAAGCATACTTAGGTTTGCGTCTGTTTTAACTTCCTGAATAATAAGGACTGGGTTATGAATTAAGGGCAATTGAGTTATTGAAGAATACAGTTCGACCTCCGATTTTTGTGAAAAAGAGACATGATGTATTTTGTTGTTTTTAAGATTCATTTTTTTAACACTAACACTTGTTGCATTGGATTTTATAAACGTCAATATGTGAACTAAAAATGATATCAAAAACCGCCTTGACTCTCTTTATGAAGAGAACATTACACATTTATATTTTACATTCGGTAATTAACTGAAATCTAAAGAATATGATGATTGACTGAGATAAATATCCAACTGAAATAGGATGCAATAAGTATATTTTATACATTTGTATTTTTATTAGACAATTTAAGTTACAAATAAAAATAAAGGTACAACGAAGAGATGATTAACGTGAAAATATTTTGCTATTGCTATGTTATGTGCTATAAATGGTTCATCAACTGTAAATGGTTCATCAACTACCCTTTGTTCATCAACTATAAAAGGTCTATCAACTATTAAGGATCCATGAACTATAATTGATTCATCAACTATAAATGGTTCATCAACTATAAATGGTTCATCAACTATAAATGGTGCATCAACATTAAATGGTTCATCAACTATAAATGGTTCATCAACTATATATGGTACATCAACTATAAATGGCCAATCAACTTTAAATGGTTCATCAACATAAATGGTCCATCAACTATAAATGGTTCATCAACTATAAATGGTGCATCAACTATAAATGGTTCATCATTTATGAATTGGTTAATCAACTATAAATGGTCGATCAACTATAAATGGTTCATCAACTATAAATTGTTCATCAACTATAAATTGTTAATCAACTATAAATGTTCCATCAACTATAAATGGTGCATCAACTGTAAATGGTTCATCAACTATAAATGGATCATCAACTATAAATGGTTCATCAACTTTAAATGATTCATCAACTATTAATTGTTCATCAATTACGAAAGGTCAATCAACTATAAATTGTGCATCAAATTTAAATGGTTCATCAACTATAAATGGTTCATCAACTATAAATGGTGCATAAAATATAAATGGTACATCAACTATTAATTGTTTTTCAACTATGAAAGGTCCATCAACTATAAATGGTGCATCAACTATAAATGGTTAATCAACTATATATGGTTCATCAATTATAAATGGTTCATCAACTATCAATGGTTCATCAACTACAAATGGTTCATCAATTATAAATGGTTCATAAATTATAAATGGTACATCAACTATAAATGGTTCATCAACTATTAATTGTACTTCAACTATGAAAGGTCCATCAACTATAAATGGTGCATCAACTACAAATGGTTCATCAACTATAAATGGTTCATCAACTATAAATGGTGCATCAACTATAAATGGTCCATCAACTGTTAATGGTTCATCAACTATATATGATTCATCAACTATTTATTGATCATCAACTATAAAAGGTGCATCAACTATAAAGGCTTCATCAACTATAAATGGTTCATGCACTATAAATGGTTCATAAACTATAAATGGTCCATCAACTATAAATGTTTCATCAACTATTAATTGTTCATTAACTATAAATGGTCCATAAACTATAAATGGTTCATCAACTATAAATGATCCATCAACTATAATGGTCCATCAACTATAAATGGTTCATCAACTATAAATGGTTCATCAACTATTAATTGTTCATCAACTATAGAAGGTCCATCAACTATATATGGTTCAATAACTATTAATGGTCCATTTACTATATATGTTCCATCGGCTATGATTGGTCCATCAACCAAAAGTGGTTCATCAACTTTAAATGGCCCATCAACTATAAATAGTTCATAACTATAAATGTTTCATCAACTATTAATGGTTCATCAACTATAAATTGTCCATCAACATAAATGGTTCATCAATAATAATGGTCCATCAAGTATAAATGGTTAATCACTTATAAATTGTTCATCAACTATAAGTGGTCCATCATCTATAATGGTCTATTTACTATAAATGGTCCATCGACAATAAATGATCCATCAACTGTAAATGGTCCATCAACTATAAATTGTCCATCAACTATAAATGGTTCATCAACTATTAATGGTCAATCAACTATAAAGTTTCATCTTCTGTAAATGTTTCATCAATTATAAATGGTCCATCAACTATAAATGGTCCATCAACTATAAACTGTACATCAACTGTAAGTGATTTGTCAACTATAAGTGGTCCATCAATTATAAATTGTCCATCAAATATAAGTGGCCAATCAACTATAAATATTACATCGGCTACAAGTGGTTCATCCACAATAGGCGGTTCACCAACTATAAATGGTCCATGAACTATAAATGGTCCATCAACTATAAATTGTACATCAACTGTAAGTGATTCATCAACTATAAGTGGTCCATCAATTATAAATGGTCCATCAAATATAAGTGGCCAATCAACTATAAATATTACACCGACTACAAGTGGTTCATCCACAATAGGAGGTTAACCAACTATAAATGGAACATCAACTATAAATTTTCCATCATTTATAAATAAATGGTCCATCAACTATCAGTGGTTTTTATGAATAACTTAGCATGGTACCATAACTAGGAAATACAATTAACTTTAAATGATCCATCAACTATAAATTGTCCATTAACTATAAATGCTCTGTCAATTTAAATGGTTCATCAACTATAAATGGTTCTTCAACTATAAATGGTCCATGAACTATAAATGGTCCATCAACTATAAATTGTACATCAACTGTAAGTGATTCATCAACTATAAGTGGTCCATCAATTATAAATGGTCCATCAAATATAAGTGGCCAATCAACTATAAATATTACACCGACTACAAGCGGTTCATCCACAATAGGAGGTTAACCAACTATAAATGGAACATCAACTATAAATTTTCATAAATCATTTATAAAAAAAATGGTCCATCAACTATCAGTGGGTTTTTTGAATAACTTATAACTTATGAATAACTAGGAAATACAATTAACTTTAAATGATTCTTCGACTATAAATTGTTCATCAACCATATATTGTTCATCAACTATAAATGGTTCTTCAACTATAAAAGGTCCATCAACTATATATGGTTCATTAATTATAAATGGTTCATCAACTATAAATGGTTCATCAACTATATATGGTTCATCAATTATAAATGGTTCATCAATTATAAATGGTTCATCAACTATAAATGCTTCATCAACTATATATGGTTCATCAATGATAAATGGTTCATCAACTATAAATGGTTCATCAACTATAAATGGTTCATCAATTATAAATGGTTCTTCAACTATAAATGGTTCATCAACTATAAATGGTTCATCAAGTATAAATGGTTCATCAACTATAAATGGTTCATCAACTATAAATGGTTCATCAACTATAAATGGTTCATCAACTATAAATGGTTCATCAACTATAAATGGTTCATCAACTATAAATGGTTCATCAACTATAAATGGTTCATCAACTATAAATGGTTCATCAACTATAAATGGTTCATCAACTATATATGGTTCATCAACTATAAATGGTTCATCAACTATAAATGGTTCATCAATTATAAATGGTTCATCAATTATAAATGGTTCATCAATTATAAATGGTTCATCAACTATAAATGGTTCATCAACTATATATGGTTCATCAACTATAAATGGTTCATCAACTATAAATGGTTCATCAACTATAAATGGTCAATCAACTATAAATGGTCCATCAACTATAAATGGTTCATCAACTATAAATGGTTCATCAACTATAAATGGTTCATCAACTATTAATTGTTCATCAACTATAAAAGGTCCATCAACTATAAATGGTTCATCAACTATAAATGGTTCATCAACTATAAATGGTTCATCAACTATAAATGGTTCATCAACTATAAATGGTTCATCAACTATAAATGGTTCATCAACTATAAATGGTTCATCAACTATATATGGTTCATCAATTATAAATGGTTCATCAACTATAAATGGTTCATCAATTATAAATGGTTCATCAATTATAAATGGTTCATCAATTATAAATGGTTCATCAACTATATATGGTTCATCAACTATAAATGGTTCATCAACTATAAATGTTTCATCAACTATAAATGGTTCATCAACTATACAAATGGTCCATCAACTATATATGTTTCATCAACTATAAATGGTTCATCAACTATAAATGGCCCATCAACTATAAATGGTTCTTCAACTATGTATGTATATTTATCTTTACACAATCCCATTGCTAGAACGTTTGTACATATGGTCTGAGCATAGAAGATAGAATTTGTCTTTTTTGTAACGATAATTCAGTTGAAAATGAATTACATGTTTTGTTGAATTGTAAGGTTTTTGATGATTTAAGAGTAGATTTGTACTCTAGAGCAATAGAGCATGATAGTTTGTTCTCTGAAATTCAAGATTCTGATAAATACACTTACTTGTTTTCCAACAAAGAGCCAAAAATAATAAGATATTGTGCCAAAACCTGTAAAAATATTTTAGATAGACGTCGTTTTAAACTTTTTTAATAAAACATTACAATAGATGTGGAATGTTTCACACATTTTTTTTTATTACCTAATATATTTTTATTATATGTCAGAAACCTCTTAAATGCATGTGTTTCGATGTTGATTTTCGTGCTTTTTTTATTTTATGTTGATATATGTTTTACTAGAAATAATTGTTTTATGTCTTTCTTGTATAGTATTTTAACTCCATGCTTAGTTTAGATAAACTGTTCGATTTTAATGTAATTTCTCACGACCATCTCTTATAATTCCATATGGAATGGCATTGCATTTATTTATTTTGTTTTTAAATATATTTGTATGTTTTATCATGTATATGCAATGATGAGATGTAAATAAAGATACTACTACTACTACTACTGTTTGATTATTACTAAAGGTGAAAGTTATTTTGTGTCGGATAATTTTCGTATCAATTTCAATAAAAGCTGTGATAATTAACATA